ATTCTGATATTTTTAATCTATTCAATTTTTCCAAAAATTGTGGTTGTAACTGTAAGTTAATTTCATGAGCCATCATTTGAAAATTTCTACTCAAGGGTAAATAAAGGAGTAAAAGTTTACAAAAGAGAGTTTAAGATCATTCTCAACACCCCAGCAAGCTGTGTATTTGTTCAAAATAACATAAAATCTGTATGTTTAGATCATTCATTCCTGTGGACAAAGTTCTTTGAGGATAGGATAGTTATCTGCCTTGTTCACTACTACTTCTAGCACTTCTCACAGTGCTTGGCAAATAGTAGGTATACAAGAGTTATGTATTGAATTAATATGAAGAAGTAAAATAACTTTACAGATAGCTACACAGTGAAAACACCCACTTGTATTTCTGGGGGTGAGGAGGTGAGATTGGTACAGAATTGTATGGAGACGTGGGTAGGGGGAAAGGTGTAAGTAAGGGCTTGGAGTAGATTTCCTTTTTTTCTTAATGACTTTATACCTTTCCCCTGTGTAAGTGTACATATTCCTTCACAGGTGTTCCACAAAAGATGTTGGCATTTGCTTGTCTTTGTGACAGCTGGAGGAGGCTTTGCAAGTGGGTGCACTTTCTTGTTCCCGTGGGTCTTTCCAGGTCACAGTGGCTGTGTTGTGCTATTCAGACCCTCAGCGGGGCTTTAGTAGTCTCTAGTCTAGTGTTCCATTGAAGGTCCTCAAATTCCCTTCTGTCTTCAGAGGAAAGGGTTTCAGGTAGATGGGAGGCCATCTCTGCCCCATGTCCTATGTGGCTTAGAGAGGGTTTCTTCCTGGCATGTTTGCCTTCCCCATGGGACAGTAAATAAGCCCATAGCATTGTTTCGCTGGGAAACCTTTAACACAGAGATGACCTCTGATGCCAGCCAGTGTCCTGTTACTCATAGTGTTTTTGATGTAGTTGAAAAATCATGGGTAGTGAATGGTAATTGTAACTCTCACACACATGCTAGGAATGCTTCTAGGAATGGAGATACAATGGTGTTCCTCAATCTTCTTGCCATTATTGCTCCTCACCCCTTGCTTAGGAGCCTTTTGAGATATTTTTTCTCTAATTGCCTCCCCAATAAAACTTTAATATCACAGATAATACTTTACATCTGTTTCTTCCCTGTAGCCCTTTAGAGGGTCACAAGCCAATCTATAAGCTAAGGGTTTTTTGTGCTTCCAAGAACCAATTTTTCCCCTTGGGGGAACAATAACAACCCCTTTGAGGATGCATGAGGTAGAAGAAAATGTGCCAAGAAAGATTTCCTGCCACTTTGCCCAAGTGGGATAAACTCATGATAGCCCCAGATCTTGGGATGAGGGGGAGGGTAGAGGCATTGCAGGCACTGGAGCTAACGCAGGAGCTTGGTTTATTGTGCATCTGTCTGGTCTCCCTGCGGGCCTCCATTTCTCTCTACTCAAAATCAAAGATATTTAAATAAGTCCTGCCTCCATGCAGGGCCAGGCCTGGTCCATCCACATCTCAAGATGTAAGTGTCTTTGAATTCAGGACAGATTGATTCAAGTAGAATGGGAGGAAGTTAATCTCAGGTTTATTAGTTTGTGTTTGTTGCCAAGCCTGATTATGAGCTTTGACATAAAAATATAGCCAGATTTGACTATGTTGTCAGTGTGATAAGGCAGTGGAAGCATTCTTCAGCGATTAATCTTTATCATTTGAAATTGCAGTTTACATTATTAAATTGTAAAATGAATGTGGACATATGCACCAAGTGAGATTGTTTTATCTGCATGAAACAATGAAAAGCACACTTTCTGTTGATGGTGGGTAGTGTGTGAAAGGTAGCACACTATAATTGTCCTCTGGATTTTCCCTGATGCTTATTCTGTTGGCTTCCTGGAGTGTGGTGAATGTTAAGCCTTGTTTATACAAAACTGCCAGGGTGCTGCCCTGCAGTGGTTCACACAGATCTGAGACCTCATTCCTTTACGTATTGTCTGTGGCTGCCTTTGTACTACAGCCACAGAGTTGAACAGTTGAGACAGACCATTCGTCCCACAAAGCCTAAAATATTTTCTCTGGCCCCCTGTAAAAATGTTCGCCAACTCCTCTTCCAGAAGATTCTAAATAAATTACTTGGAACTTGGGATACATTTTGAGAAGTTAGTTCACAAATGCCTATTTAACTTGCATGTCATTGGAATGATTTACACTTACAGTGTAAAATAGGAAATTGTATTGTGGTACCACGAGTATTTAAACAAACAAATAATGACATTTTAAATAAAAGACTGGTTTTTCTTAAATGCAAGTTGAGTTTCTCTGAAGATAAGCTAATTTAATCTGAAGGTGTGAAAATAATGTATTTTTCAGAAACAGCTTTTGTGTGATGTGGCACTTTTCAAGGTTTTTAGAGGTTGATGACCCTGTTTCTTTATCAAGTCTAAGTTCACATCAAAAGCTATGGTTTCCTGGCTGGCCTATTATCTCAGTTGGTTAGAGCGCAGTGCTGTAACACCAAGGTCTAGGTTTCAGATCCCTGTACCCACCAGCCGCAGAAAAAAAAAAAAGTTATGGTTTTCTACTCCTTGCTCCAGGGTTATCATGGGCACACTATTCTCATACCTCTTACCCAAGATGGGATTTTCCCCAAAGTGAAATTTCCTTTGTCCCTCCCCACCCCCTTTCATTTCAAAACTCGTACCTGCTAACTAGAGAAAATTTCAAAAACCAACAAAAAGAGAGGTCGCTCTTCCCAGAGATCCCTATGGTTGATACTGCAAAGGATTTGGTCTCTGGGATGAGTTACTTTGTTTTTACCATAAACACTGTCCTATAACCATCTTTCTGTTTGGAGAAGTGATTTTCCTTTTGACTTGTAGAGGGAATAGAGAGGAGGAGTATTATCTTGAAATAACTAGCTAGAGCTACAAGCCAAAGGGAAGAAGATTGGGTTTTAAAAGGAGTGTAGTGTATGCCTGTGTGTCAAAGAGAGAGACACTGATACTAATCATCTGAGTTGGTATTAGCTGGCCTGTGAATGTTGTAAGACGAGGAGGTAGGGTGCCCGTCTTGTAGAGGTGATGGGGAGTGAGAGAGGGGCAGAGGCCTCTCACTGCCACCACTGGGTCCCCTTAGCCCAAAACATTGCAGAGTTGCTCCCCAGTGTGGAGCTTTGTAGAGATAGAAGATCCGAGGGGAATGGGCATGCTCAGTGGGGATTTGCCTAGGTCACAGGCCAAATTAATGGCAGGATAGAATTTAAAACATGATTTAGTCAGTAGGATTTGTACAATTCACTTATTTGAATTTGGGTGTTTCATATGCTGCGTTTCTACAGATGCAGGTATGTTGCCATGATTTATCTTCTTATAAGTCTCAATCAGGACCTCTCCCTTGTGTTTGCATTTTCTTTATGTTGACTCAGAATAGGGGAGGTATTGTGAGCATGTGTTAGCACCCCCAAGTTTAGTGAATGTTTTTTCACCATAACTTAAGTTGGCTGCTTCATCATTGATAAGAGAAATTAGTCTCTTTCAGGGAAGAGTTCTGCATTGAGGTAAGTAATACTAAATGCAGTTGTGGATTCTGGTACATTTTCATCCCAGAGTGTGAGTTTTTTCTGTTCTCTCTGGCCCGCTTCCTTGCACATGTGCCTGCAGCCATCAGCATGCTGTCTAACAAAGGGCAGGAAGCAGCAGCTTCTTTATGACCTTTGTGTGGTTTCTGTCCTTGACTTTCTATAAAAACATCACACAGACTTCTCCTTAGTTTTTATCAGTTGTTCGGCAACCTTGGTTATTCTGGTCTGTACTCTTGGTCCCAAGGAACCAAAACCCCAGCTGAATCCCTCTTGGGCAGGTTGTGCTCTGCTTTCATTGCTCACATCAGCCATGCTAGGCCCTGCGTGCCAGGTTATCCTTCTCTTCTGGGTATGCTGAGATTCTCTTCTCTGCTTTGGTCCTTTAACTGTGAAGGCTGGGCAAAGCTGCAGGTGCAGTTTCTTGTTCGTCCAGGGAAGTGGGAGGTTGCCAGATTACCTGAAGGCCTTTTCTGAATTCACAGTGAAATTTGCATCCTACCTGCCTCTGTGGCCCCTCCATGGTGGGGAGCAAGCTTAGCTGCTACCAAGCTCTGGTCCTGGGCTCATTTGGCTGGCCTATGTTCTTCCCCCAGCCTGTTCACAACAGCTGATGTCAAAACAGCAGATGTCTGCAGCTGCTGATGGCCCTGGGGAATTTTCTTTTCCATTCGTTTCTACCCCAGCTCTCCAAAGGAATGTGCTCTGTTCATTCAACAGTCCATTGCACCCATTCATGGTTCAGCTCTCTTATCTGAGCAGGAGCAGTGAGGAGATGGGGTATGTGTCTGTGCAGTCTGTCTGGGTGCTGGTGAAGCTCGATGCTGTGCAGTCACGTCCTCCCTCTCAGCAGCAGCCAGGCTCCCCACACCTGTTCTGGTCACTCTGATGGTCAGATGGTTTGGGCATGGACAGCCGTTCAGTTGTTTTGCTGAGCCAACCACAAACCTTATGTGATCATCTGTGATTTCCACCTCCTCTCTCCTTCCAATTCATTTCTGTCTGCTAATCTCTCTGAGGAGCCATCTCCCCCGTCTGCACTTCTTAAATCAGATGCTCATACAGTGACAACTGCCACACAGGCATTTGAATCAGCATCTGTAATGTTAACTTCATGATGAGCCCCCAGAACTTGACGTAATTAGTTTATGTATCAACAGATGTAAAGAAATCAGGAAATGAGATGACTTCGGCACATCTTTTAAAAGTGATCTGTGTTGCTGCTAAGTGGTGAAATAATGTGGCATTTCACCTTGGTCCCCCGTGTGTGAGGGCTGATGGTTTAGAATCCTGCTTCAGAAATATACCCTGGCCTGCCTTCCCTGGACCTAAAGGAACAGGAGCTTCAGCAAGGATCAGTGGTTCCCTTGCCCTTCTTCCTTGGCCATGTGTAAACTGTGCATTCTGCTTTGTTTTTGACTCCATGGCTTACATTCCTTTCCCTTTCAGTCCCCTCCAGGCAAGGTGACCGATGCTGTGAAGGTAGCAATTGACGTTGGGTACCGCCACATCGACTGTGCCCACGTGTACCAGAACGAGAAGGAGGTGGGGGTGGCCATCCAGGAGAAGCTCAGGGAGCAGGTGGTGAAGCGTGAGGAGCTCTTCATCGTCAGCAAGGTACCCTTCTGCAGGGGAGCCTGGGGCAGGGCTCACATTCTCCAGGGGCAGCACTAACGGAGGAGCCAAGTCCACACTCTTAATATGACTACAGTTATCGCTGGGCAGGCAGTTCTTCCAGGGGAATCGTGTCACACATGGCCATGCAGGACTCCAGAGTTCACCCACCTGTGGCTCTGTGTTGGCTGGTCCTTCCACGTGGACCCATTGGTTAGAGCCCCATGCTGATGAGGCTGGGGTGGCTCTCCCTGTCCAGAGTTACTCTCCGGGACAGAACTTGGTTCCCATCGGCAGGCTGGCTGTCCATTGCTGGTCACTGGAGGCTATTGGTGCACAAAGGACACCAGGTGGGAGGGTGAGGCTGGTTCTGCAAAGACTAACCTGGTAAGAAAATAGCCCTGAGAACTTATGTTTAGGGCCTAGGACTGGCTGGCTGACCTATCCATTCTGTCTTATGCCTTCTGTTTGGTCCTTGGGAGAGGTTGCCTTGACCCGGTCACCCAACCTTCCTTTGGAAAGTTAGGGTCCACAGTGTGAGATGGAAATTCCTTCACAACCGTGTGTGGCATCATGGGGAGGTGGGGTTTGCAGGCAGAGGAAAGTGGGTGTTGCACCTTGGAGCTGTCTGGCTCCAGCCAGAGCTGCCTGGCACAGTCACAATGAGATGTGCTCTCTCGCTGGCCTCAGCTGTGGTGCACGTACCATGAGAAGAGCCTGGTGAAGGGTGCCTGCCAGAAGACGCTCAGTGACCTGAAGCTGGACTACCTGGACCTCTACCTGGTCCACTGGCCTACTGGCTTTAAGGTATGGGACCCGCCGCTCGGACCAGTCCCCGTGGTGCTCGGGTGCCACCTGTGACGTGCTTTGACGTCCCTCGTTAGCAGGTTACCTCTCAGTCCCTCTCTGTCCCTGCTTCTTGAGGCATGGCCCGTGGTCCAGCAGCAGTGGCATCACCGGGAACTTGTTAAAAGCACAGACTCGGGCCCCACCCAGGCCACCTGAGTCCAAACCACAGTGACTCATATGCACACTTCAGAGTTTGCAGAGCACTGCTCTTGGTCATTTGGTGGTTGTATAATTTAAAACTGTGACAGCAAACGGCGGCTGCTGTCTGTACTGCTCACGGCCATAAAGCACAATCAGCTCCCTGACCCCACCTCCTGGCACATGCACACATGTACACACACATATTCTCCACGTGTGTGTGAGTCTGTACCTACATTCCACACACATACCGCATCCCATGGAAGCCTGAGAAACACTTGTTGGCAGCCTCGTTTTTTGCATAAAAAGAACTCTAGAGTTATTATGTCCTTTGCCCTCTTTCTAGTAACTGGCTTAGTTTTCTGCTTTGTCAGCCAGGTTGAAAGTGTGGGGGTCTTACCCTATAGCTCCCTTATTGCACTGTGGCGTACAAGGGCCTGAAGGGACTTGACTTTCATTCTTTGTTTGTATGACGAGCCACATAGGCTCAGAAGGTGGTGGTTTTATGGGCCAGTGATCCAGCCAGGACTTGGGCCCACTGAAACCTGGTGTGAGCCCTCGTCCTGTCCACATACTCCAGTCCATGACGGGTTAATCCCTGTGACCGAGTATTATCCATATCTCCACTGACAGTCACTCACTTCCAACCCATTTGATAGAAAAAGTGTTTAGGGACTTCAGGGATTGTCTGCCTGTTTCCTTTCCTACTGGCATACAACTTTGCCCTGATTATTTTCTAAAAACTTATCCAGCTATGGTAGTTTAGAATAATTTTTCTAGAGACAGTTTCCCCCAGCAGGTCTATGAAGAGCTTTTATTGATCTGTTTATTTGTTTTGGATTCTAATGACAGGCTGGGGATGACTTTTTCCCATTGGATGGGTCTGGCAACGTGATTCCCAGTGACACGGATGTTGTGGACACATGGGAGGTAAGACAGTCCTTGACACTGCTCTCCGTTGCTGGCTTCCTGTTCTCCTTGTGAGTGATCTTCTCTGCCTTTCTTACATGCCCATTTGCTATATTGTAACTGTTTTTGCTCCTCTTGTCTCCCGAAATCCAGTCTGGCTGTCGTCTTACCATCACTTGGCTTCTGAAAAGTCTAACTAACTGGCACTGAATAGTGAGGGCAGGACCTGTTAAACTGGTGTCACAGACAGTTCTGGTCCTTGTCCTTATAGGGTTCATTTCAGCACCAAACAGACCCTCTTTTCCCTTTAGGCCATGGAAGAGCTGGTGGATGAGGGGCTGGTGAAAGCTATTGGCATCTCCAACTTCAACCATCTCCAGGTCGAGAGGATCTTAAACAAACCTGGCTTAAAACATAAGCCAGCAGTAAACCAGGTAAATGTCCACCAGGGGAGCCTGTGTCCATGGCCTCCTGTTCTATTTTCCAATCTTGGTGGCGACTTCATGTCTGCATCACCTAGGGAGTGGCCAGGGGCAGCTCCTGGGCATTGACGGAGTCCTGAGTTAGGATTCAGCATGACAAGGCACCTCTGGAGTGGAACTTGCGGGAAAGAAAGGGTTTGAGCCTGGCTCGTGATGACTTGGGGTCTGACAGATGAGCAGCTCCTGGCTGTTGAGAGCCGCACACCTGTGACAGTTGACAGATGGCTAAAGCAGAAAAAGCCTTTAGGCCCTGTGGCCATAGAGCACCAGTAACAAGATTGTTGTTCTTAACGTTGAGGCCACTAGCTGGGAAATGTAGAAAGTTATTACAGCCTATCAGGGAAGTACCATGAGAAGGACATGCGTCACACATAATTTTCTGTGCGGGGTGGGAAGGGACTTAGCACGGGGAAACTTTGCTTGTGTCACATTGACTGTGCCCGCCCTGTTTGCATTTACAGATTGAGTGTCACCCTTACCTAACTCAGGAGAAGTTAATCCAGTACTGCCATTCCAAAGGCATTGTGGTGACTGCCTACAGTCCCCTTGGCTCTCCTGACAGGCCCTGGTGAGCTTTGCATTGGGTCATGTTCTTTTGTCACTTGGTGAGGATTAGAAATGATTAAAAGGAGAAGTTTGATATTAAGGTAAATGCTTCTGGGGCTGATCTGCAGACTTCCCCCGGGAGCCTCTTAGGTTTTCTGGGTGGGTTGGAGTTTCTGGTGGCAAGATGTCCACTCTTTTTCCAAAGGGTTGGGGTTGGTAACCCATCTTGGAATCTGGAGAAGACTGGCAGGCTGCCCTCTGAGGTCAATGGGAGGGTTAGGGGTAGGGTTATTGGCTGCCTGAGTGGTAGCAATGATGGTTATTGACCTGGACTGTCTTTCTGTCTCTAGGGCCAAGCCTGAGGACCCATCCATCCTGGAGGACCCCAGGATCAAGGAGATCGCAGCCAAGCACAACAAAACCACAGCCCAGGTATAGCCATTTCCAGGTCCTCACGACTGTTCCAGAGCTCCCTACATTCTTGGTGGTCCCCATCAGCCAGGAGGGAGAGGTGACCAGGCCCATCAAGGCCTCACTGGAAGTTTGGGTTGGGGGGTCTGGAGTGTGTAATAGAAAGGGCACAGAATGAGAATTTAGAAGACTGCCATGTGGTCTTGGGATAATTATACCTGCCCCTGCTGCCTTTATGGGCTGCCACGAGGATTTATGTGGAAGGTCACCTCTGTACACATACAAGAGCTCTTATCAGCCACTCGGGAAATGTTCTCTTTCTTGCCAGTGGTTTGTGACTTCCTAGGCAGTGAAGAGTCTCACTGGGTCTCCAATATACCTGGAGACCCTAAAGCACATGGCACGGTGGCTCTGGCCCTGAATGTGACCACTGCCTGTTGCTGGATGTGACCTGCACGTCTCTGAGCCTGTCTTTTCTCACCTGTCAGATCTGAGCATGTCCCTCTTAAGATCTCTTTTTGTGTGCGTGCGTGCGTGCGTGTGTGTGTGTGTGTGTGTATGTGTCACACACACTTGGCACCTCTCTGGTTCGCAGGTTCTGATCCGCTTCCCCATACAGAGGAATTTGGTGGTGATCCCCAAGTCTGTGACACCAGAACGCATTGCTGAGAACTTTAAGGTAAGATCCCTGCAGTCGGCCCTGGCTTTCTTCAGTGAGGAGGGGACAGAAGGATTCTTCACAGGGCCTCTCATCCCATCCCTGGCTTGTCTTCTGCGGGATCCTCCCTCCTCCAGCCTGCCATCCTGTCCTCTCCCAGGCCAGGGAGCCCACCTCAGTAAGCTGCCGTAAGCAAAACCCAGACTTGAGGTGGTGACTGGGATTGTGGAAGCCCTATGGTGGGGGCAGGCCTTGGGCCCGGGTGGTACATGCACCCTTGCTGAGGCTCCTCGGCGACACTGAGCATGTGCCCTCAGAAAATGGAGTTCTCAAGCAAAGCTGCCTGGGTTTGCATGGGGCTCTGTTAGTTGCCAGCTGTAAGACCTTGGGCAAGTAACCAAACTGCACAGTGCCTCAGTTTTCCCATCTGTAAAATAACACCTACTTCGAGGGCTGTTGTGAGATGAATAAGGTTCTGCGTCAGAGCGCTTCACGCAGTGCTCACACCACGCTTCGCAGGTGCCTCGGGGAGTGCTCCAGAAATGTTGCTGTGTGATCAGCGCTTGTGCTACAAAGGACCTCCTGGGTCACTTAGCCCCCAACCAGCTCTGCAGAGAGCCCAGACTGTCATTGAGGCCCCAGGAAAGTTCTCTAGGCAGTCACTCAGAGCAGCTCAGCCTGCCTGACGTCACACCCCCACCTGCCTCGTGCCAGTAAGAAGGGGCCTCCTTCTCCTGGGAGAAGGGCTGCTCCAGGAGTGTCCTTCCACTGAGCAGAGCAGCTCTGCCAGCGACGCTCTGTCTTTATCTGAGACCTGGTTTGGAGTGTGGCACCACCGTGGGCACGGGGGTCTTTGGCAGCTGGCCCCATATGGCCGCTTGTGGGCTGTGGCACAGGGTAAGGACAGCTGTTTGCACAGTGAGCAGCTCACCCTGTCCTCCCTGGTTACACTGGCCAGAGGCTGTGGCGATCACACATGCCACTTGTCACATACGAGACAGGGGTGAGAGTGAGCCCTAGGGAGGGGAGCAGAGCTTAACTCTTCAAGGTCAAGTGGCAACACAGTGGCCACTATGGGAAGGGTGCATCCTACTAGAAATGAACCTTTTGTTTCATATTTCCTTTTTTTAAGATATTAGAAACAATTTTAAATGACTGATCTCAAAATGCTGACTTAATTTTTTTATTTTTGCATCTCACTGCGTAGTGTCTGTGCATTTTCCCACAGTTGTAATCAAAGAGTCCGTAGCAGGCTCTTTCTGCACATTCTGTGATCATCTGAAACCACAGACCTGCTCAGCTCGGGGTGTGTGTGCCAGCCACTTCCTGGCTGTCACCCCGTGCCTGCTGGCCTCCGTGCGGGCTGAGTTCTTCTATGAGGTCTGTTGCCTTCATGCAAGTGGGTCTCTCCTCTCAATATACTTTCTTGCCCTCTCTGTAAAAACCTTATTCATCTTCTTAGGCCATCTCAAATGCCATCTCCTCTTTGGCTGTGTCCTTCAATTCCCCAGCTGGAATTCATGCCTAATGCCTCTGGGCTCTCTGAGTGCTTTGTTTACCATCATACAGTGTGTGATTAATTATTCCTTGTATTATAGCTGTTGTAATACCTCAGTCCTTTGCTTCGTTATAAACAGAGGCATAGACACATCTTACCCATGATGATGTTCTTCACTGGTGCATATCACAATAGAAGTGTGCAGTAGTGTTTGTGAAATGAAAGAAATAAAATGAAAAGTATCATTGCACTTGGAGGTTCTGGAAGGGAAGGACTGTTCTCATTGTTGTATATGGTACCTAGCCAAAACGTGTGTTCCCTACAAAGGAATAAACTTTAAGTTCAGTGTATCTTACTGCCCCTCCACACTCAAGGCAATGGAAGACATTTCATCTGGAACCTGCACAATGTATATGGTACCTAGCCAAAACGTGTGTTCCCTACAAAGGAATAAACTTTAAGTTCAGTGTATCCTACTGCCCCTCCACACTCAAGGCAATGGAAGACATTTCATCTGGAACCTGCACAATGCACATTATTCTGTCTTTGATTTTTTATTTGCAGAGCTTATTGGTTGTTTTTTTGTTTTGTTTTTAGGTCTTTGACTTTGAACTGAGCAGCCTGGAGATGACCACCTTACTCAGCTATAACAGGGACTGGAGGGTCTGTTTCTTGGTGAGGTGAGTGAGTCCCAGTGTGGTGATCAATTCCCAGATCATCAGATGCTGTAGAGCAAAATAATCCCTGCAGACCATAATGTCCAAGTCCTCTGACCGCAGTTCCTATTTTTGCACATGACCTTGCTTTCTCATCCAAATGCAGCAGGAAACACTTTAACCTGCATCGGCTGAACTGCACAAAGCTGCGGGGGAAGTGCTAAGAGATCTGCTCCCGATATCTTCTCCTCCTGCCCCAGGGGTGTTGTCAGCCTAACATGAAATAACTACATATTTTGGCATTTAATTTTCAAATCTTAGTGGCTCATCTGAAATCAGATGACCCCAGGAGGCCCTGCCACACCTTCCTGGAAGAATTTGCATGTGATTCTTTGCCTTAATAACCCTAATAAAAGGGACCATGGTGCTGGGGCTCCAGACAGTTCCAGCTCTGACACTAGTACACCATGTGACTTAGAGAAAGTCACCCAACCCCTCTGACAGGCAGAGTCACCTAAAGGCCCCTCCAGCTGCACATTCTCTGGTTCCTTATACTCCCTCGGAATTGTAGTTTGGGACCTGAGGGAGATGACTAGTAAGGCGTTTTTTCTTTTCCCTACCAGTACAGTAACTAAATAGTTTAAGACTCACTTTCTGCTCTCAAGAGGGAACTTCCCGTTTGGTGGTGGAGGCTGACTGCACTTCTCTTTGGCGATCCTTACTCTTCATCTGCACTCCCTGTTTCTGCCCTGTCTCCTTTACCACTTCCTCTTCTAAGCAGTGTGACCACCCCAAGACAGGACAGGGTGCTAGCTTTCTCTTTCCAGCCTCTGGCCTGTCTGCCTCAGGTCAGCATTTGCACGCCGGTGCTGGCTTCAGCCACTGACCCAGGCAGCTGTCCTCCACGTTTGTACCTTGAACGATAATTGCCCTATGAGCATGCCCAGTGAGCATGCCACTGTCACACCAGTGGCCTCACATCCAAAAAAGGCCACAGAGCTTAGCAGCCCCAACTAGGGCCCTTTCTGAAATCCTTGTTAATGGTACTTAACCTTTAATCATTGAAATTATGATTGGATCTGGTGGGCAAGGGCAAGAGAAGTGAGTCAGTCATCTGGTTACATCCGGTCTCCTTTCAGAATCCGTCACGCTCACCAGTCTTCCCTTTCTCCTCCCACTGCTGACGGAGTGTGTGGACGCTCTGAGGACTGGCCAACCATGTGGCTTTCTAACTGGTCCCTTTACACCTAGACTCCTCCCACCCTCCAGTGCTGCTCTAGAGACAGCTGTCAGATAATCCTGTGCGCTACTGATGTTGAGTGGAGGTGGGTTGGAGTGGGGAGGAAGAGGCTGGCTCTGACATCCCCAGGTCTCCTAGGAAGCTTTTTTTTTTTTTTTTCCTTTTTGTCTTTTTTCGTGTCCGGCAACGGATCACAACCCTCAGTGTCGCGCCCGTACCGGACCGGGACCGGCAACGGGATCGCAACCCTCGGTGTTGCGCCCGCACCTCGCTCAGCCAGTGAGCGGGAACCGGTCTGTATGTGGGATCCGAACCCTCGGCGGGAGCGCCGCCGCACTTCCCAAGCGGCACACTGTAGCAGCGCGGCACCGGGCCAGCCCTCCTAGGAAGCTTTTTTTTTTTTTTCCTTTTTGTCTTTTTTCGTGTCCGGCAACGGATCACAACCCTCAGTGTCGCGCCCGTACCGGACCGGGACCGGCAACGGGATCGCAACCCTCGGTGTTGCGCCCGCACCTCGCTCAGCCAGTGAGCGGGAACCGGTCTGTATGTGGGATCCGAACCCTCGGCGGGAGCGCCGCCACACTTCCCAAGCGGCGCACTGTAGCAGTGCGCCACCGGGCCAGCCCTCCTAGGAAGCTTTTTCTAACTACATGCCAACTCTCTTTTTGGCAGATATTGCTATTTTGAGCCAAGGTGTTGACAGTCATATTCTTCAGGCATGCAAATGGAGGCAGAGTGAGGGGAGCTTTTGAATGGCTTTGAATACGAGTTATATTCTCCATGCTGAGTTCACCCTGGGCCTTTCATACCCTGCCCAGCAGTCTTTCCAACATTGTTGCCTTTACGTTCCAGTGCAAGCCAGTGGCCCTGCCACATGGACCATGAGCCTTGGCAGACACACCCTGACCTCTCGGCCCTGGCCCCTTCCCCAGTGTTAACCTATCAAATCCCCAACTGTTGCACTGGGCTCCCATCACTTCCCACTGACCCCAGGGGCTTCTGGAGGTGATGGATTCCCTCCCTCCATGTCCTAGGAGAACTCCCTGTTGCTGCCACGAACCCTTTGGATTCAGTCACACGTGGACTTGGAACATCTCTCATCTCTTTGCTCTTTTCGCCCTCTTCTGTTTAAGACTATAAGGAGCTATCTGGTCCAGCCAGCAAATTGAGTTACTGGGAAGCAGGAATCATATTTTGCATGCTCCAGGCACAGTGCTGGGCATGTGGGGAGGTAGGACAGTGCCTGTCACACATGTGCTGCCTAATCACAGCCTGTGGCAGAGGAGTGTTGAGGGTGGGCCGCTGCCCCAGCTGCAGACCTGTGACCTAAAGATTCAGAACTGGGTTATTGCCTCCGAGGCCTCTATTTCTGTTCGTGATGAGACACTTACCATTTCTGTGTGTTGGTAATTTGTTATAGTCAAAATCATTTTCTTGAAAAGCAAATGTGTTCTCTTTTCTCCTGACAGCTGTACCTCCCACAAGGATTACCCCTTCCATGCTGAGTTTTGAAGCTGTTGATGCCTGTTCTTCCCCCCCAGGTGATCTACACCTGTTTTTCCTGCCCCATTTTTCTTTGCAAAGGTAGAATGGCCTGTGTCCCTCAGCAGTGGGTTAGCAGTCTGCAGACTGACCAGTGAGGGCTTGTGTAGCTTGATGTTAGGTCTGAAGAGCGGGATCCATAGATTAGAAGTCTCTTCCAGTTTTCTTTGCCCTTCTACTTGCGCAGCTGGGAAGGGTACAACCTGAATACCCTTTTTTGACCAAAGAGAAGCAAAATCTACTGAGTCACAATAGTGCCACTAACAGTTGAGTTTTGACTGCTTGGAACGGTAATCTTTTCAGCCAGACTTCTCTTTGCCTCAAATAAAGTGATTTTGTGAACTTGATGCTGATGGCATTTTGTTTTGGTTTTTTTGAGACAACAAACCACCTTCTATCCCATTCCCAACCCTCATTCTTGGATACCTATGAAGCAGGCCAGTCAGCTCTGCGGCAGGAAGGAGGATATGGCTTTTTTCCTTGTAGTTGCAGACCCCTCACCTCAGTACTTTGCCCATTTAGCTTTAGGGCAGTGGCTTTCATCCTGGCTGCACACTGGTCTCCTGGGGAGCTTTTAGTGCTCGTAGTGTCTGCACCTCGCCCCTGGAGACTGACGGAATTGGTCTGGGCTGCCAGGACGCCAGGAGTTGACAAGCTCCCCAGGTGATTCTCAGGGGCAGCCAAGGTTGAGAACTGCAGCATCAGGGCTGAGCCAGGATGTGAAACCATTTTCAGTTTCACAGATCACTTGGTCGTCCCTCCTCCCTCACAAGGCCAAAGTCAGATATTTATTGCGAAGCACTGCCTGTGAGAAACTGCTTTCATGAAGCCCGTTGTCTATGCAAGAGAGAAGAAAAGATAAACAGCATCCCTTTGGATAAGGTGGATGCTTTAAATAGGGTTACAGAGGTAAAGGCTTGAGGCCCCAATGCTGTCACTTATTTTTATTATTAACATTTCCTCATCCAGAATTAAAGGGACGGGATACTCAAGTGTTGATCTAGCATTTCCTAAAGTCGGGTTGCTTTGTTACAAGATCCCTGCTGAAGATAGGCTCCTATAGCAAGACGATTGAAAGTCAACCCAGGAGCACAGACAGGATAAAAAGGCAAGCCTGTGCAACTCCCCTCTTCCCCACCCCTATTCTCCCGCTTTCTAGCAGGAACCCCCAAGTTCTATCTAAGGACTTGGCCTTTAGATGGAGCCTGGCTTGCAGTGGGGAGGAGGAGGATCAAGACCTGTCACAAAGGGCAAAGGAGAACAGCTGGTCCTGCATTTCAACACTCAAATACAAGTATTTTCGTAACTCAGTGGCTCAGGTGCAAGTGGGACTCAATGTTGATGCTGCAAAGTGTGGTGGGAGGGAACGGCAGGCTGGACTGGGGGCTGGGCAGGACCAGCCTTGTTCCACTAACACTTTGTCCAAGGAGCAGGTGGACGTGAGAGGGCCCACGGATCGAGACAGGTGCTGCTTTGCCAGTGGAGATGGTCTCTCTCACTTCCTTTTGTGGAACTAAACCCACACACCTTCCGAGGCAGGTTCCAGCCCAGCCTCAAGACCCCAGTGGACTCATCATAATGATTGAAGCGACCTTCTAGGGGGCAAAGCCAGTGGACATTATAGAACAGTAGTGCTGACCTCGTCTTTGAGGAGCTTTGCTGCTGTGTGGTCGGCGGCACAACATTACATTCATGAAACAGCTGGAGTTTTACCAAAACGCTCCAGCCAAAGAGTAGTTGCTAATAAGAAAATGAGACCAACCAAAAGATGGAACTAAGTTTTATTAAATCACACAGGCACCTTGGAGGGAAAGGAAAGAAATGGTCGGGATCCCTTGGATATTCAGAATTTTGCCAAACATTTGATGCAAATATGTTAACTGTGCATGTGTGCCCAGGTGTTCCTGGGTTGTCTGACTCACACCCAGGTGTTCCTCAGTTATTGGGCTTAAGTATAAAGGATGAACGGCTCTGATCCACAGTGCCAGATGCCCCTAGGATGGCCCCAAGGGGGCCGCTATTGCTGCTGGAAGCTGTTGCTGCCAGGGCCTCCGGGAGGCCACTGCTACTCCTGCCAGATCTGCTGAAGGTTGCTGTAAGCTGCTGCTGAGGAAGCTGAGGACTAAGCTTATGTCAGAATGAAGCATGTCAACTCTAACGGCTTCCAGGATCTTTTTCCAATTACCTAGCTCATGACCTGTATATGAGGGGTCTGTGATCCAGCCTGGTATGTGAGGCGTCTGTGACCCAGTCTGTACAACAGGTTTGAAGAGTCTGAGCCTTAGCCTGACACACCTGTGTTGGAAAATCTCTGAACAGTGCTTGTGCAGACTTAATATCAAACAGCATGGTTTCTCAAGATCTGATTTCACAGAGCAAGGTTTCTCAGTGCCACCTCCTTCATGTCGATAGAATTCCACAAAGGCTGTTTTAGTGCGGTATCCATGGCACCTTCTTATGGAAGCAGCTGGTGTAGGTTTATCGGGGCATTCATTGGCAGGATGCTGAGAGGGTGCCCAGCCAGGAGAATCAAGTGTTGGGTTCAACCCAGGAAGGTTTTCCTAGAGGGGCTGTCTTTGGGGGTTCCTGGCTCTCCAGGATCCTAAAGGGAAATTTCCCTTCCTTCCCACCCTGGAGTTTGGCTACAAAGCAGTGGAAGCAGTTGTTGGTTTCTCAGGACCTCCTCCAGCCCAACATCCCAGCATAGCCTGAGGAAGCAACAGTGTCTGCTTTCCTCGCTCTTCTATCTGTAGTTTCTAGAACAGCACCTGGGCACAGAGTAAGCTCTTGGTAATACTGGTTGCATGACAAGTCAGTGAATGAAGGGGTTTTCTTATAATGACTAATAAAACCTCCTAGTATGAAAATTGTCTTTCAGATCCAAGGAGCAGCTGCTCAGTTCTGATACTGGCCTGTAATTCACCAAATGTTGGCCAAGGATTCCATAGCCATAGACTGAGTTTTCACTGCAGCTCTACTTTTTCTAATTGTGACTCTGGCAAGTCATTTAACCTCTCAGCCTTCATTTCCTCCCTCTCTAAAATGCCTGCCTCGTGGTGGTTGTGAGGATTAAATGAGATGATGAATGTAAAACCCCCTCTGAGGGCCTTGCACGCAACACTCAATGCCCACTAGCCATTACTGTTGATACTGTTAATAGTGTTATCATAATCGGATGTTGGCAACAGAAGCAAACCCATCTGTACCCTCACAGCTTGCAGATGGTGCCCCAGTGGGGTGGAGCTATGCCCAGAGAGGGGCTCTTTCCTCTGCAGGAAGAGCGCTTTGTCCACGGGTCTGAGCTGTCTGACCTTACACTCAGCAAGGGCAGCTCCTGATACGCTTATCAGGGAGCAGCATGCTGTGAGCTTTTGTTTCCAGCCTCTGGGATTGTATTTCATGGCAAGAAGAGTGAGCCCTGAAGAAAATGCTGTCCATATGTTTTAAGAATCGTTTGTTTCATACTGATAGGTGGAATGATAGAACGTTAGATGGAAAGGACCATAGCGATCATCTAATCCAGTGTTTCTCTAAGCCAGTGTTTTCAAATTTATTTTTGCAGCAGACTCCATTCCTCAGGAGAAATCCTACAGGGATTCTCAATACAGAAACCAGATAAAGGCAGAGCTGCTGTGGTTTAAGGTGGGGAGGAACCTGGGAGCCAAGCTGTCAGAACCCCTTCCCACATCCCTCTAGCCAGGAGGACCCTGGAACACAATTTCAAAGCCTTGGGATCCAATTATTTGCTTGTTTTAAACATCTGTAAACATTTATTTGGCACAATTGCTAGTGTTCAGGAGTTCTGGAGTAGCTTAGCCAGGTGGCTCTGGATCAAGGTCTCACGAGACTACAGTTAGTATGACAGCAGAATCTGGAGTCATGTGAAGGCTTGACTCAGACAGAGGATCTGATTCCAAGATGTCTCACTCAGTCCCGGGCAAGTCAGTACCGGGAATTGGCAGGAGGCCTCAGTTCCTCACATGCGTACCTTTCCCTAAAGCTGCCGGAGTGTCCAGGACACAGTGGCTGATTCTCACTGAGGGAGTATCCCAGAGGAAGTGGAAGTCACATCATCATTCCTTGTCTAACCTCAGAGGTCACACAGCACCATTTCCACAATATCCTCTTGGTTACAACAGGTCAGCCCTGTTCACTGGGCATACCTTGGAGGCCACTACCACAATTTGCAACCTGAAAATTGCATATTGCTTAGAAGGTATCTCAGAAGTAACTATAAAGAGGAAAATGATATTTCAGAAGAACACATGTTTGGATTAGCAACAAAAGAAAACTCTGAGGAGCTGGGCCCATGGCTCACTCGGGAGAGTGTGGTGCGGATAGCGCCGAGGCTGCGGGTTTGGATCCTATATAGGGATGGCTGGTTAGCTCACTGGCTGTGAGTGTGGTGCAAACGACACCGAGCCAAAGGTCGCGATCCCCTTACTGGTCAAAAAAAAAAAAACAGGATCAGATAGGTGAAGTGACCAACCAGACCTCACACAACAGTTTAGAGGCAGAAATGGGCCTAGAATCCAGGTCCAATTAACCACACCTAATAATAAAAGTGGTCAATGTGATGTCACAGGAATGCAATGTCACCTTAATAACAGAAAGTCATTAATGTAATCCACCACGTGGACGTATGTATCCAAATAGAAAAATATTTGATAAAATTCAAAATTTTTTATGATAAAATCTTTTTTTTTTTTTTTTTTAAAGATGACCGGTAAGGGGATCTCAACCCTTGGCTTGGTGTTGTCAGCACCACGCTCAGCCAGTGAGCCAACCGGTCATCCCTATATAGGATCCGAACCCGTGGCCTTGGTGTTATCAGCACCGCACTCTCCCGAGTGAGCCACGGGCCGGCCCTTTATGATAAAATCTTAATGAAAACTTCTTTAACCTTGTAAAAGGCATCTACACACGTACTACATACACCTATTGTGTTGCATTCTCACAGTGCACAAACTATAGTTATATGCTTCCACTGAATGAATCTCAAAAACAGAATGCCGAGGCAAAAAAAGGCTAGTCCCAGAAAAAATACATGCAGTAGATTCCATTTCTATAAAGTTCAAAAGTAGACAAAAGTGAACATATTTTTAGAGGATACAATCATTGGTCATCAAACTATAAAGAAGAGCAAGAGAAGGATTTATTCAAAAATCAAGGGCAGGACCTGGAGTCGGTCTTGGCGTCACAGAGGAACCTAAGAGGGGCCCTAAGGAACTATTTATTTCTTAACCTGCATCCTGAGAACATGTGTGTTTATTTTAATTCTTCGAGTGGTATGCAGAGATTTATACCCTCTTTTGTATATATAATACGTAAATGTTGAATAAATAAG